ATGTGCGGCTGCTTGTACTAGCCCAGACTGAAGCTGGTTTTATAGTGCTAGCCCACTGAGATACCATGCCGCAGTGAAGCATGAATACCCCACTCAGACACAGTATACTGACTCCGAGCCGACCAGTCCTTGTTGTACCCATTAATGCCGAGCGCCAGGCAGGGACCAACAAGTTAATGAGTTAAGAAGGTTTTGTTTTTATATGAGATACTATATAATAAGGACATGTTTTGACATGCAAAATTATTTTACTGAATGTTGATGAGCTTACGTCAGATTTATCCACCATTGAAAACGAAATGTTATATGCGATATACCACCCGGAATACCTGTAGGGGGAGCAGGACCAGTTTATATCATTATTGAAATGGTGGAGTATTCCAGATATATAGATATGCCTTTTCGTTGCAAATGTTTTAATACGCTATTAGAAACTGGTGTTTTCCCTAACAGTTGGGGGACCGCGGGGTAGCCGAGTGGTTAAAGCGTTCGCTCATCACGCCGAAGACCCGGGTTCGATTCCCTACATGTATACCATCACTCAATTTCACTCAACATGCACATTTACTCTATTGCGTTGTCGCATGAGTGTAAGTGCAAAAATATTTAACGTCTTTACAAAAGTTAGTTTGGAAATACAGATACATTGGGTATTCTGTGTTATTTTACCATTACCATTTCCATAATACATAAAAAATATATTCTTACGATATGTATAACATCCCATTTTAGTTAAAAGTTGCATGTCGCCAGCGACGGTGTATATATACTAGCCACATAAAGAAACTGTGCATTGTCAAAATATTATCCCAGTTGATAAGTATGATAACAATGTCAAAGGTACATATAAACTTTAATGGAGGGATCATGAGACCATAACAAGTCGGGAGAATTTCAATTGAAAAGTCAATCACATTGACGTCACGAGTCCACAAGCGGGACAGGGGTCAAACGACCATGTCACAAGCTCAATAACGGGTATGTCCACCATCGGCATTGAGAACAGCAGTGCATCGACAACGCACAGAGACTATCAAACGTGCAAGGAAGGCTTGTGGGATGTCACGCCAGATTCTCTCAAGTTCTGTTGCAAGGTCAAGGACGTTATCTAGCGGATGAGGAAGACGGCGTAGACGTCGATCCATTTCGTCCCAAACAAGTTCTATCGGGGAGAGATCCGGTGAATTTGCAGGCCAAGGCAGTAAGTCAACGTTGTGGTGTTGCAATAAATCCATAGCAACCCTTGCCGTATGAGGGCGGGCATTGTCCTGTTGGAATGTTAACCCAGGGCCATGACGTTGCAGAAAAGGAATTGCCACAGGTCGAAAAATCTGATCCCTGTAGCCCACACCAGTTAAGTTGCCCTGAACAATCACCAAAGGAGTTCTTTGGCGTGCTGTTATTCAACCCCAAATCATCACGGAACCACCACCAAAGCGATTCCTCTCCAAGACACAGGCCTGTGCATAACGTTCTCCCACGCGTCTATAGGCACGTTGACGTCCATCATTATGGGAAATGTTAAACCTGGACTCATCTATAAAAACAACATTTCTCCACCAAAACAAGGGTCTGCGGACATGATTCCGGTACCACATTCGGCGAGCTTGTCGATGACGTTGTGTCATGGTCTGATCCCGTGATGACGTAAACGTTGCCGAACTGTGTTGGGATGGATACGGCGAAGTCCTGGGATGGTTCGGGCAGTCATCACTGCAGTCTGAAACCTGTGGCGAAGATGGGTCACCCTTATCCATATGTCCTGTCTTGGCGTTGTTACACGTGGACGTCCAGAACGTGGCCGATCAATGACGTCATTTGTGTTCTGGTAGCGTCTCACCAGTGCAGAAATGGTGTTCCGGTGGCAGAGGAAATGTGCAGCCACTTGTCGTGGAGACATCCCCTCACGGACCATCCCATTTGGCCTCATGACGTTGTGCAGACGTGAGCCTTGGCATGCTATGCGTTTCAATAGCCGTTTAATTTTTTGAACGATCGCAAGGGCAGGGGCTGAGCTTTCCAAAGTGACAGTATTGTGTGGCATTCATTTGCTCTGTTTCTCTTTCCCGGAATGCACGTGCAACAACGTATTGCACGTCTCAAGAACGAACCCACTGACGTCACGGGACGTGGCACGTGCATGCATGCTGGATACATGTCACTTATCTCTGAGTTTAAATCCTTATGTGTCTACACAGGTTTGATAAATTCAGATTTTAAATTTTTGTATGCACAGTTTCTTTATGTGCCTTGTAATATTATTTTGTTGCATCCAAAATAACACTAGTGATAGTGAATGTTATCTTTTCAGGCCCTCCTATCTATGTGATGAAAAAGCGTTAAATGAGATCATAATGATGGCGTATTGGTAGCATAGCGTCTGTATTGCTATCTAATGCAGTTCATATACGAACAAAAAGGGGTACTATCGGATTTGACAGCGGCTGTTAGCGGAATACGCGTACAGCCGCTATGCGAAACTCGGTAAAATGCAGCGGAATAACTTCGACTGTATCCGTTAAAAACCGATCGTAGTTGAATGACAACACCATTTCCGGAAAAACATTGTACGACAAAATGGCGGACGAAACCAAACAAGTGACAAGGTGAGTAGTTTCTTTTGTATATTGCGGGTTGAAGTTTTGACTTTTATGCATAACACCCACATCATTGATCAACCATCATGTATATGCAGCTGGATTTGTCATTTGATGTGGAATACGTGTTTTGTTTAATCAGTTACCGTAGGGTTCGGCCTCGTCAGTGTACTCAAGTTAGGTTACACAGTTGTGTCTGAAAGAAGTGTTGCAGGCTGAAAGTTAATCGAGGCGGGTATGATTTCTCCAAATCGGACATTGGTACCAGTTTATTTTTTCAGTGTTAGCATGTTGTGTCGAAGATATGTAGTAGTGAATGCGTTCTTGTTTAGATCTCGAGTACAGTTGTGCCAAGTGAAATTACGGTGAATATCGGGAATGTTGGTTTATGGCTGTTTTCAGCTGACAACTTGATAAAAGGATATGTTGTTGATTTTAATTCTGAATTACTTAAGAGTTGTGCATGATCAATTGCGCAAATATGTAACTTATTTCATAGGTAGTCAGGTGTAACTGCATTAGAATATATGATGATCATGCATTTGGTATCTCAATGTTGATTAACATGTTAATTGGTTGAAATTGGACTCTTGGTATACAGATATTAAACACATTTCAGGTTCGTGAATGGTTCCAGGCGTGTGATGACCCAGGGATATCAGCTATTGACAGATGCAGGATGATACATATGGGTATATAGGCGAGTTGATTTAGAATTTCCTCTGTGGACTACAGATCATTGTAATATGACCACCATCCATAATGAAAGCTACGGCTGATTAAACGTTATCTCTCTTAACTTCATGAAATTGCTATATTTCTTATTGTTACAGGTTCAAGAAATTCCTTCTGTCACTGGCTTCCACCTTCCCTCCAGTGGGTTTACATGTCAACAAGTCCAACATTTGTGGGGAGAGCATTGTAAGATCCAACCAGGTAAGTCCCACACCGTACTAGGAAGGCTGGTGTTGTTTGACATTAAAAAGTTATATATGTTTAACTAATGGCGTTTTCTAACAAACACTGGCTGACAGTTTTGTTTACCATTACTTTTTACTATTAATAGCATTATTAAATATGTAGAATCTAGCAGTGTGGTAGCTTATTGTTTAGGTGACTAACTGATCAGTGCGACATGGTTTACAGTGTGATTCCACAGGTTTAACTATTTGATCATCTGAATTTTCAACTGATTGCTATCTTGCAGAGGTCTTGGTGTGATATTTTCAAGTATAATAATGTTGGTCCTCTTCCGTCAAAGTTAAGCCCCTCACTAACACACACACACACACACACACACACATTGCATTCCACTAAAAGTGTTCTTCAATCCTATTACAGGACCACTTGTTTGATGCCCCCAGTAGGCTCATCGTGCGAGGAAACCGGTGAAGGTTATGTCAAGTGTGCATGAACCTGGTCTTGGAGCTACCACAAAGTCAAGGAAAGCAAGATGAAGCGACTAATAAGAGCTGGTCTTTCTGTTGCCCACTGTGATGAACAGATGTCAAAGTGTTGAATCTGTTATGTTTTTACATATGCACTTTCATAATGTGTAAATATGGGAATTGTAAAGTTGGACATGATGTGATGTTGTGTCTTACGTAAACAGAAAATAAGACATTTTTATCTACTGATTATCATTGGACAAAGAAAGTCATATTCAGATTTGTCAATGAATAAAACACTTGAACTTCATATATGGCTGTAAATATATCTTTATTACAAGTTAACATGGTTGATAAAAACAACATTAAACATATCATTCCAGTTATTTGTTAGTTATCTTTGCCATTATCACATAACCTGGTCAGCCAAGCATCCTTCCTACTACTTTCAAAACACAAAGTCACATGAACAAACATTACAAGCATGCACAAGTATTTTCCAACATCAACAAGAATTTACAATCTCTAACACCAGAAAAAGAGATTTGAGGAAATTCTATTACTAAATCTAAACAAATGAACTTAAAATAAGCAAAGGTGGTAAGGTTATCGTGGCAATAATAAGTCGGGTTTCCAAATTACGTATTTGGGATCTGACAACTGGCCATGGTCATTCATTCTACCAATGAAAAACTGTCATGACAGATTATGTTATGAGTTTACCACAACCTGTTTTTCGGTGCATGCTCATCGTGGAGCAGACTTGTATTCCTCCATACCCCGAAATGTTGGAACTATACTGCAAACCTTGCACACCAGTCTGTTTGTGTGCTTTAGCAACATGTTCCTTCAGCGTTTGGTTGATAAGGAAAAACGTCCCACACAATTCACATGAGAATTTGACATCTTTAGTGTGGGGCCTCACTTGCAGGTTCAAGGAGCCTAAGGTCTTGACAATCTTCCCTCAGGTCCCACACTGTAAAGATGGTTTGTGCTCAGTCTCTGCTGCAACAATGTCTCATCTATCCTGGAAGCTTGATCGGTGTCTCATCTAAGTGAGACACATCCAGGAAACTTGTGTCATCTTGTTGCTCAAGTCTTGAACACTTCTGCAGACTGTGACCTGTAAGTGTCAAACCAAGAGAATAACATTATGAAATAAATTCAGAAAATATTATTCAAAACTAATTATAATGAGTTATATTTTAAACATGGAATGAAAAGGGGTGTGTGTGTCATGTTTGTCACATATCTTTACAATCTAATTTAACCGAAAAAAAACCCTGAACTGAAGGGCAATAATCTACCTCATTGTGTGAGAATCACAGCTGGTGACTCTGGCACATTGGAAGACTTTTGTATTGGTCAGACTCCATGTATAATCTCTGTCGACGGAGTTTCGGGAACAGTAGGGAGGTCACAACTGTCAGACATCTCGCCCATCCGTCCACCAGATCCCAGCACACTCGGCGACTGTGTATTTCCCCAAACAAACATGATGGCCTGGTAAGTGTATCTGTAATATAGGTTCAATCACAACTAGACACGAATAAAATGCATACTGTTCGCACTCACTTCCAGTTTTAAAATGACTACGTTACAAATATGGGCCAAAATACAACTGCGGTCTCTCCGACGTAGCCGGTCAATGAAAATATTGCTCAAGTCGTCATCGTCCGTAATAACCCCGAATACCAGATTCACACTGAGTCTCAATTTGCTCCTCACTGAATCCCCTCACGATAAATTTTCTAAAGTCATGTAAGAATCCACTCAAAGCAAAGGAGGTTGGTAGCCTCATTCCGCCGACCTCAGCTTGAAATCCGTTCGACTTCCATATAAAAACGCAGATAATAGACACAAAATACATTTTTTACGAAGATGAAGTATTGCTATCAAAGGGGGATGATAACATGCGTTCAATGCACACTACCTTCTAAATCAGAATTACAGTATGTGGAGCTAAGCGTTGATTGAAACACTTACCCTTTTCTCTTCTCCTCTGTCGGCAGCCATTTTTCGCTCGCTGTGACGACAGGAAGTGTTGGCGTTGTTCGGCGAAACGCGGAAATTATCGGAGATGACCGAAAGTTTTCGGCTGCCGATGCTTTAGGTTCAAATAGCGGCTGTATAGTGCTTCCGATGCCAGCCGCTTTTACAGCGATAGTTGCTGCATTCACAACACATTTAATGCTATTCCTTCGCATGTGGTAGCTAAACACACATTATAGTTTACTTTACATCCAATAATGCTTCTTTTTAGTCAAATAGATAGGAGGGCCTGCTTTTCATGCATCCTGTGGAAGATATCATGCTGAATTTTACTGTGAGGTAGTCATTTAACCTACTATTTGAGGGTATTAGTCAATGTTGATGAAATTCTACTGTCGCCAATTCTTTTGTATTTTACGTTGTGCTCCAAAAGAAAGAAAACAGCATCAAAAGAGAAAAGAAATACATCCAGTAACTTTAAGAGAGTAATCACTCATGCTTTATTGATGACACTGAACATCAAATCCATTGGTTGTAATGGATAAAACTATAAATATGTTGGGAAGATAGAATGCATATACAGTATAGATAAGGTTGTATTTTACGTTACAACTTGGCCTATGTACAGAATGAAAGGATACAATGTATCATGGTTTGTTAATAGTATTTTCTAGGCTAGTGTATTTTACGTCACATAAAATAATTTCATGTTAGAAAAATGTAAAACTAAAGTACAACTTAACTGTTTGCTAAAATCCTTTAACAAACTAAAGTTTATTTCAACACAAATAAACCAAAAGAGTAATCACATGTTATATAGAATTTGACCGTTATATTGACATTTGGTAAAACTTCAAACAAGAATTTCCAAATAGATTCTCTAGTTCATCTAAAGTGATATTGAATGCCTTACACTGGCATTTCTATATTTATCGACAACGTCAATGTGTTATGCGACCTGGAAATATATTTATTTGCTCCATATTGGTTATAAACATAACATGAGCACATGTATGTGATCATCTGTATGGGTATGCGATCTAGTTCCTTTTCCCGTCTCCTATATTCGCACGTTATCATTTGTTTAACTTGCGTGGCTCACAATAATGACTGATGTATTTTACGTTACGTATTCTACGTTACGGTATTTTACGTTACAGTTCCATATATGGCTATTCAATATACTAACAAATTTGAGGACGCCATGAAAACATATCATGCATGTTGCGTCATTCATGCTGATTTCAATGTGCCTGCTGCTCATGATCTGAAGCTCTGACGGGTTAAATCATCGGTATGTAAGTGTTGAACTTTCAACCTTATGATTCTTGTATATGTGTACAAGTCAAACTGTTAAACGTTTATCAATGCGTGTAATGAAGGTATTCTAATGACATGTATCATGTGTAATCATGCTCGGTAATGAAAAACATACTGAAATTACCATATGGCATTTGTAACGGAAAATACAGTTGCTATAACGTACAATACAATTGGATTGTACTGACGTTAATTGACCATAGATGCCTATATAATCCGACGTTTGTTGCTAAACGTTTGTTAAAGATTTGTAATTAATTTATTTGTATTTGCTGTGTTCTGGAAATGACAAAAACTGCATCCGTTATGTTTGACAGTATTTTACGTTACAGTTGTATTAAATATTTATTACCCTACAGTGATACATTTGATAACCAATATGGAGCAAATAAATATATTTCCAGGTCGCATAACACATTGACGTTGTCGATAAATATAGAAATACCAGTGTAAGGCATTCAATATTACTTTAGATGAACTAGAGAATCTATTTGGAAATTCTTGTTTGAAGTTTCACCAATTGTCAATACAACGGTCAAATTCTATATAACATCTGATTACTCTTTTGATTTATTTGTGTTGAAATAAACTTTAGTTTGTGAAAGGATTTTAGCAAACAATTAAGTTGTACTTTAGTTTTACATATATTTAACATGAAATTATTTTATGTGACGTAAAATACACTAGCCCTAGAAAATAACCCCACTGCTAGTAACTGCCGTTTATTAACAAACAATGATACATTGTATGCTTTCATTCTGTACATAGGCCAAGTAGATAATACTTTCCATTGTCATATCGAACAAATTGTGCTCAGATTAAAAAAAAATCCGATTTCCATGATCAAAAATGTGCACCCTGACTGAGAATGAGTGAATATGTGAAGCCCATTTTTAGTGTCCCCCGGCGTGATATTGCTGGAATATTGCTAAAAGCCAACTCACTCACCTAACAGTTGGTCGTGTTGTATAATGATCCCCCTGCATCAACAAGGGACAGGAGTGACCCAGACAACAGTAAAGTATTTCAGGAAACGTTTCCAGTGCAATTTTAAACAAATAGACGTGGTCATCAATATCCCCCGCCACACGGTTTCTGTCCACCACGACACATATGTCCTGAAAACACATAGCAAATATGGTTTCCCTATCTATAACGGTTATTGAGAAAAATATGTTCCCGTTGGGAATAATGTACACCAAGTCTAGAAATGCATGACATGGGCCATAACTCTGTAGCAAATTGTAACACGGATTCGTTTTCAAACTCCGTCAAGGCATTCATGTCCTGAAAACACATATCAAATTTGATTTCCCTATCTATAACGGTTTCTGAGAAAATCTGTCCCCATCATCTCGAACGGACGGACGGAGCCCTAACAGATATCCCCTCACTTCGTGGCTGGAGATAATAATAGAATTATTTGAACAGGCGAACATGAGTCAGAAAATTCCTGAATTTCAAACTGATTTTAAAAAGAATCACAGGACCAAAAGCCGGATAGTAAACCATTGAAATAAACGTAAATACAGTAGGAAATACATGCCATGACCGGATTTACGTATGTTTTCAGATATTTCCTAACTTCGGGCATATATTTCATATGAATCTATACCTTTTAAACATATGCCCATCGTACATTTTCGAATGCACAAGTACCTCGTTCATGTATGCCATGACCGGATTGTCAGGTATTTCCAAACATGAATTGCAAAATATATACCCCTGTAAATACATGATCATACAGTATTTCCGATACATTCCTTTGAATTTCAATGGGTGGTGAAATTTCCGATTTCGTTCTAAGTTTACTCAGGTTGGAAACATGTAAATTTACGTAGGTGGGGGAACACATGTAAATTTTCAAATTTACAAAATTTTACACACCTTAGATATATATGTATCATACCGGATATCAGGGGTATGTGTATGAACGGTTCATACACCTTTATGTTACCTGTGCTCAAGCAAGATGATCATTTGTTTCCATCATGTGAATTACTTGGTTCATGTAATTTCATTTTCACTCAGTTTAGTACGTTTGAAATCAACGTTCACGCTCTTGCTACAAGTATCAGTTACGCTTTGTCTGCGGTGTTGGCAAATCTCGTGTGTGGTGAACAAAGGGCGATGAGCGGCCCCTTTGTCTTTGCAAGTGTCCCCAGCCGTCCCAACAGAACAGCACTTTATCTCTCTTGGAGCAAGGCCAAATACGCTACACAAACCAACTCGTAATTTCTTTAAGTCTCTTCAGCTCGCGCATCACTACTGTAAAATAGTGTTTGGCAGTACATAATTGGAATATTATTGCGCTGCATGTGACCTTTCTTAATAGTCTCACAGTGCCTGAACCATGTTATTTCTCCTTCCTCTCAGCCGTCGCTGTAATAACGCCATACATGAACTTAAAGTTGTCCACATTTGTTTCATTAACACAAACGTATACGATAACAAACAATGCCATATAAAATAATATATTCTTTGAGACATGAAATGAAAAATAGTTTTTATCGTGTAGCGAATATGACCGAATAGCACAGGCGGGTGCGTTCTCTGAGTATACAATAGGCATGTTGGACATCCGTGCCTTTTGTGAAATTCGTCTTGATTGTCCTGTTTAAATTGACGATCCATAAACCCAGATTCCGTAAGCAAATGTCACACAAGTAAATGTGATGTTGCATTGCTATTATTTTCCCTGTCGGAGAAGTCCTTCTCACAAGATATATATTCCGTTGTTTGTAGCAGGCCTATGACTATTACGCCCCAGTGTTGCTAAACATCTTGCAGACCTTTAGCTTGACATAGACTCAAACCTCGCATGTTCAAGTTCAGATCTGAGAGGTGCCGAAAATATTGATTCTGACAAGAAAGCAATATCTCAGTGGGTTATTGTTTTCCTAAGTAAGCTGGGTGCTTTCTACAACATTGGAGATAATGGTATCGTTGTCCTTCTGATATTCCCCCGAACGGAAGCTCTACCCATTTAGGGTACACTGTGTATGTTACAGATTTGTAGGGAATAGTCTTAAGACGTTTATGCTTTGACCAGGATTCTTCAAACTTGCAACAGTCGTTTGAGAAGATCAAGAGAGAAAGGGGTAGTGTGCGATGTATCTGGCGGACGTATATGGACAAAGTTCGAAGAATGTTGCTGTATAAATACAATAGTAGAAATACCGGTTATGTTTGTAAAGTACCCTCAATCTGATAGGCAATGATTATTGTGAAAGATCGCAATATGTATCATCATAAACGGGCCCAGATAAAAGTACTTGTCATTCATTCCCACATTATATCCCCTTTATAGACACGGGACGTGGTTGTTACAGGTAGGGCTAACACTTTAAAAAATCTTCTATAGGTATCTGCCGGTTTCACGCTACATACATGTATTCAGATAATTGCGAAAAGTAGCGACGCATGTTCTCCTCCATCACACATATAATTGTATAGGTACTCAGTGATTAGGGATAGCGCTGCAGCAACTTATTGAAATTTACGACATACGCTATCATCTGCAGTAGTACTGTCATACCTAGCATCGTATTTATTACTCTCTTACGTAAGGTGAAATATCACAGGGTTGTCATGGTAACGATAATTTGGCATACTATTTATTGTCTTATTCTTTTATCTGCGATTAGAATTTAAATCAGTTTTGACGTGAGCATGTTAAGAGAAAATTTTATTTAGAAGCTGTAAAACGAATATTAATGTGATCGAACCTATAGGCCTTTGTAAAAGCGAGTTTCAAACCACCTAAATAAAAAACCTTCATGATAAACATCTGCTAATCCGTGGCACGATTTCAACCATGTCATGAGCATGTGTTTGTGAATCATAATCAAATAGCGATGTTACAAGGCATCTATGCCGCGTCAACAACAAATGGAAACGCACGAAAATTGCAATACGGGCCCCTAAACCACTGATGCTCCGTGACCTGGAAACACATGTGATTGAGGGACGGGTAGAAAACAAAAGACAAAATGGATACTCGTGCTGTTATACTTTTGAATTATAAGTAAACATTCGTTCTTGTTACGGGATAAATGTATACTTTCCAGTTTCAACCGAATGTACAGTCGAAGAATATCGAAATTAGGTTAAGCTATTTGAATCATATTTACAATTATAAGACCCAAACAATGGTCTGTTGTCCAAATATTTTGTTTTCCATATTTTGTCCCAATCTGTATCCAGAGACCACATAATATTCTATTATATGGTCTCTGCTGTATCATAGTCACAGAACGATATTATTTCCCCTTCCGTCCAGCCCTTACTGTAATGCTAACGCCCTAAATGAAACATATCTAGATAGTCCCTGGTTCACCGTCTGTTATAATCTGCGGGAAAACTCACTGCAGGGTTCGGGTTACAGATTAAGCATACCAAACACCCATGGCTGGCTGGGACCAACATCTTCAGTAACATTTACATCTGCCAACGCTTAATTCGCAAGTGGTGAGGAAATACGCTAATGAGGCTAAGGTTCCTGTACCATGTTTGTGAAATACCTATGATGCCTTATATGAAGTCTATAATCTAAACAATCTAGCTATGTATGGCTTTAAGTCACTGCTTGAAGAAAGGCTCCTTTATAATTTTGTTTGGTAAATATTAGTATTTCACTGACTCAGTCACATTGGAAAACACATATCAGCCTATAATTCATATTAAGTCATCACTGTAAAACACAAGGGTTATTTCCTTTGAGTTAACTGACAGGCTTTCGGTATCTAATGTTTGGAACTCCGGCCAAAGGTGATGTTATGCTGTATGGAAATATGGCGTTTTTGTAATGCTTTGGTTGCACTTAATGATAAGTGATTGTTAAATGTACATATGATGTTTTTGAAGGATAATCTCAGTTGACTCAGATACTTTGCACGTGTTTTCCCCCACTCTTTCCACACCCATCCTTCAGTTTTTATGTTTGTGACATGATCTGCACATTGATAATTTAAAACAGGTATAGAAATAATAACTGTTTGCCATCTTTGCCCGATTTAGTTTTCCATTTATTTAGCAATTTTCAGTTTCTATTATTTTCTGGAAATTTTGTACGGAGGTACATGTAACAGTTTTAACCAATCTGCCCTATAAAATGTCCCAATGAAGTAATTTCGTTTCTTGCATCTTATTTTAACCTATATTGCTTCAAGCGTAGGCAAGTCTAAATCATTCATACATTCGAAAGACAAGTTGTTTTTATAATATACTGCTACACCTCCACCCTTAGTCTGTCTATCTTTTCTTAATGGTAAATGGAAACCAGGAATTTTTATATCATTGCTGTCTATACCATGGTGCAGCCATGATTATGTAATACAAATGGCATCGTATGATTCCAGTTCAGCCTGGAGTATATCTAGCTAATCTCTAAGACTCTGTACGTTTAATTGTATTATCTTAAGATCAGTGTTTCGCAATGGTCCGGGATTTGGGTGATAATCAGAGAAAATTGTTTGGTATAAAGACATAATATCGAGAAATGATAACAACAAATGTTGGCAACTTATCTACGTTTCATATGAAGAAGGACACCCTGTATCGAGCAAGGAAGAAGTAATTTACTCCTCTACCATCCCATCGTCGTGACCTAGTAATCCCTGAGCAGTACCAAACATCAGAAGGCGGGGAACAGTTCCTGGCATATGAAGATGAAGGATTTCACCGTTTGGGCCTATGCCGATGCAGCAGCTCACCTGCTTAGTTTGTAAATTTGATAGTGCTGTTGATGATGTATGTAACATCTATGCACATGTGTTAATAAAACGGTTTTGCCATTTTCTCTAGTTCCAGTTATCTAGATACGAGAGCTAGTCCATCATCTCTGTATAACCCTACGCTTTGGAGCGAGGAAGCGTAGGGTTGAACAGAAATGATGGGCTAGCTACAGTGGAGTCCTGCTCTGGAAGCAAGGCCGACAGGCTTAGGAAAACCCCATCAACATCTTCCACGCATGTGGCCTCAATATCACAATCGAAACCAACATAAAAAATGTCAACTTCTTAGATGTGACCCTTGACCTCAAAACAGGAACGCACAAACCATACAGAAAACCAATTGACGAGACAGTCTACATCAACTCTCATTCAAACCACCCACCTAACATCATCAAAAATATACCACAATCATCAAAAGAATATCCACATTGTCATCAAACCAGGAGATATTCGAAAGTGCAGTACCATACTACGAACAACATCTGGTTACAGACCAGACACACAGTTCACACCAAAACCTGCTGTGGGAAAACAAGGAAAAGGCAAATCAAGAAAAATCACATGGTACAACCCGCCATTCAGTAAAAAATGTCAAAACAAATATTGGCAAACATTTCCTACAACTGGTAGACAAACACTTTCCCCGCGAAAGCAAGCTTCACAAGATCTTCAACAGATCAACGGTTAAATTAAGTTACAGCTACATAAAAAAACATGAAGATAAACAGATAATCAAGGCGCATAACAAGATAGTATTGAAAACAGCAAGCCAAACGCCTAGCGAGAAGAACTGCAACTGCAGTCAAAAAGCAAATCAGCAAAGGTAAATGCCTGATTGATGACGTCACCTACAAAGCCACTGTAACAACTGAAGCGGACACAGTTTCGTACATAGGGCAAGCAAGCGGCTCTTTCAAACTGAGATAACAAGCACCCTAAATCGTTCAGAAAAGAACGCTACGAAAAAGAAACAGAATTATCCAAATATATCTGGCAACAAGGTCACCTACGAAATAAAATGGAACGTTTGAAACAATCAAACACCAGCAAGCGACACTCAGGATTATGTAACCTCTGTATTGAAGAGAAGCTGGAAATTCTCAATAACAAAGGCAACAAAAGCAACAAAAAGAGTGAACTACTTTCAACCTGTCGGCATGGAAAGCACACAAGCCAAATGAGAAAAAAATAGTTCCCAGCAACTTGATTTCATTTTGTCTGATGACACACTTGTGTTTGTGTGTGCATGAAACTCCGAGTAACAAACATGAAATTATCCAGCATGATATATATATATATATATATATCCTATTCATGCACTGTACCCTCCACGGGGGTGAAGTACCATACAACTATTGTCCCCCTGAGAAGGTACAACAACCTTCCCCCTGAGAAGGTACATGAGTGCCATTTCATTCGATGTACAAATGTACATATGATTATGTCTACCATCGTTTTAACGGTAGAATATTTCTTCTTTTAATGATCGGCTGAATATCCAAACTATTGCCCACACCTGAAGGGATCGTGTAAATGCAGCTGGGGTCCATGCAGGAATCAAAAGTATTGTAAGTCCCCATGGTCACTGGTATGGTCATCTACTTCACTCACTCACTCCTATTGATGCAGAAAAAATAACTTATTATCCCTTATGACTTGCCTGAAATGGATAATTGAAACTTCGAGGCAACGCAGCTTCCAAACAGAGAACACTTGCCATACATGAAATGTGAATAAATGCTCGTACATCGAAAACGGTGTTGTCGGTGTTTGCCGAGCTGGTTTCCATCACAAGTTGTGCGTAAAGAGCGTTCCAAGGGACATAACTCTATGGGGTTCGCAGGTAATAATGTTCGGTCGGTAGAGAGCGCAAGAGTCGATTTAATGCAATGTTGCATTAATTCATTCGGACATTTTAATTCAATATTGGAATCTGAATAGCTAATATTTTGTGGAAAAAAATATTATGTAGCTTCCCTGAGGGCTGATAGTATTACTGAGACAAATACATTATTTATTTTTAAAGAAGTGCGGTGTGATTTAGTGCATTTAAAGGATAACATCGTTCTCTTTTTAAAATGTTCATATCTCTGGGCTGACATATAAGTCAAAGAAAAATAATGATATATGCATTTATTGGCCCCAAGTAACATAGATATATTTCCTTTGGTATCTTCAGCTGCTACGCTCTTTGTGTGTATACACTGTTGTTTTTTTGTTGGCGTTGTCGACGTTTGTTACGCTAAAAGAAAATGATTAAAATTACCAAACAGTTGGAGTTCCCCTCTACAAGCTTTAAGTCAACTGTCAGATGATCTAAAACATCATGCCATCCACGTTCGTTCAGGAAAACAGTGTCAACAGCAACGTCTGACCAAATCACTCAAAAGACACTTGCAGGTTGACTTTTATCAGGATGAAATCCCGTGAAGATCCGGGTTAAAATTGGTCTTCAGTAACCTATGCTTGTCGTAAGAGGCGACTAACGGGATCGGGTAGTCAGGCTCGCTGACTTGGTTAACACATGTCAACGTGTCCCAATTGCGTAGATCGATGCTCATGCTGTTGATCACTGTGTTGTCTGGTCTAGATTCGAATATGTACAGGCCTCCGCCATATAGCTGAGTGCGGCATAAAACTAAACTCACTCACTCATAAGGATATCATTGAGTAATGCAGTGATAACATGAGTATTGTGAACCCATATGAGTGAGTGAGTGAGTATGGTTTAACGCTGCTTATAGTAATATTCTAGCAATATCACGGCGGGGGACACCAGAAATGTGAACCCAGATGAATAACAGACAGTGAATCAAGGGAATTTATTTAGAAACTGTACCCAGCAATCTCACGGCCACATGACGGAGGCCCGTAAATATTCAATTCCGGATCAGACAATCCACTGAGCAACGTCAAAAACGTCACCCAACGCAAAAGTATACGATGTATTCTTTCCTTTGTTGTTTTAAAGTGCACACTGCACTTTCTCAGTTATATGACAATGGTCTGTTAATAATCCAGTCTGGACCAGACAACCCAACTATTGACATCGTGAACATGCATCGACACAATTCTGATGAGGTCAACCAAGTCAGCGAGTCTGACCACGGAATCCCGTTAGTCGCCTCTTACGACAAACATGGATTGGTGAAGACCAAATGAAACTCGGTTGCTGAAGACTTTCATAAAAGTATGTAACTGTCAAACGATGTCACCGGAAGAATGCGATTTCAATCATCATAAAAACATGATACTTACCTAGGTGGTTGTTGCCACGGTCGTCGGTTCAACGAAACAGCAAGTTTGACCAGCAGGACAAGTGCCCAGTTGCAATGGCGTACCACAAGCACCGGCAACACATTGTCCTACACTGGCACCTGTTCCACACGCTATATGAAAAAAACAGGTTACATGTGATTTGTACATATTTCCGTACAACAAATTATACTGCCACATATGTTACTCCTCAAATCAGCAAAACTTATCGTATAAGGAAAGTTACAGTCAAACGACCATTATACCTTTTTATCCTGTTTTAAATTCTAATTTGGTCTTTATAATGCTTCTTGGGTTTTAGCAACATACCCATGATTGCAAGATGGCCTGGCATGTGCATTACTTCATGCTCTCATACAACCTTAAGACGCCTCGGCTGCTGCAACAGAAATACTGTTCCAGGAGGCCCTACACCCAACTCCCTGTAGATTCAAACAAAACGTTCTTTACAAATACTCACCAGGTTCCGTTGCTGAAGAGGAGAGGAGAGAAACTGACTTAATAACAGTGCCAAGACAACAACTTTACCTATAGCAAATCAGTTATTTGATACCCTATATATCATGACATACTTCCAATATTCTACAGAAATGGGCAAAACAGGTGATACTTGTAATCTCGAAATATCACTTATCCATATTCAATGTGTGACACATAGGCTTATTAGTGAACTGGACTACCATGACTGTGCGTTTACATTTCGAATGGGGCCTCATCTTTGCCATCATTGCTTCAATATACCTTTACTCCAGTGAGTAACAATACGTAAACGTTAGAGGTGTAGGACTTCGGAATGTCCTCCCTTATCAAACAGTGAACGCTTAACTGGTATACTGTCCAAATCAGTATAATTGTATAACAATTACAGTCCAACGACCATTATCACTTTTTACAACAAAAACCCATGGTTGGTGTTCCACTTCAACTCACTTGTCGAGGTGGTTACTGTTAACAAAACATAAGCATTCATGGCATGATCAGTTGCGATTTCCGCCATGACATATATCTCCTGGAATCATCTGCCTCTCTCACAATTTTCACAATAAAAGTTCATATTTTTGCTCTATTTTCTTTGTTGTTTTAACACTACACACTGCACTTTCTTAGTTATATGACAATGGTCTGTAAATAATCCAGTCTGGACCAGACAACCCAACTATTGACATCGTAAACATGCATCGACACAATTCTGATGAGGTCAACCAAGTCAGCGAGTCTGACCACAGAATCCCGTTAGTCGCCTCTTACGACAAACATAGATTGGGGAAGACCAAATGAAACTCGGTTGCTGAAGGCTTTCATAAAAGTATGTATCTGTCAAACGATGTTACCGGAAGAATGCGATTTCAATCATCATAAAAACATGATACTTACTAGCGGTCGTCGGGAGGAGGAAACAGCAAGTTTCACCAGAAGGACAAGTGCCAATGTTCAGTGGTGTGGCACAAGTCCCGGTAAGACATTGTCCTAAACTGCCACCTGTTCCACACGCTATATAAAAAAAAACAGGTTCCGTGTGGTTTGTACGTATTTCCTACAACAAATAAAACTGTCACCTATGTTACTCCTCAAATCAGCAAAAACGTATTGTGTAAAGAAAATTACAGTCAAACGACCATTATCCCTTTTTTAATTCTAATTTGGTCTTTAGAATGCTTCTTGATTTTAGCAACATTTTCCCATGTTTGTAAGATACACCAAAATGGTAAACGTCTGGCATGTGCATTACTTCATGCTCTCATACAACCTTAAGCCTCGGCTGCTGCAACAGAAATACTGTTTCAGGAGGCCCTACACCCAACTCCCTGTAGATTCAAACAAAACGTTCTTTACAAATACTCACCAGGTTCCGTTGCTGAAGAGGAGAGGAGAGAAACTGACTTAATAACAGTACCAAGACAACAACTTTACCTATGGCAAATTAGTTATTTGATACTCTATACATAATGGCATTCTACCTCTTATATTCTATAGAAATTGATGCTTGTAATCTCGAAATATCATTTATCCAGATTCAATGGGTGACATATGGGCTAATTGGTGAACTGGACTACCATGACTGTGCGTTTACATTTCGAATGGGGCCTCATCTTTGCATCATTGCTTCAATATACCTTTACTCCGGTGAGTAACAATAACGTAAACGTTAGAGGTGTAGGACTTCGGAATGTCCTCCCTTATCAAACAGTGAACGCTTAACTGGTATACTGTCCAAATCAGCAAAAACGTATTGTATAAAAATTACAGTCCAACGACCATTATCCCTTATTACAACAAAACCCCATGATTGGTGTTCCACTTCCACTCACTTGGCGCCATGGTCGCTGTAAACAAAAGATAAGTATTCATGATATGATCAGTTTCGATTTCTGCCATGACATATATCTCCTGGAATCATCTGCCTCTCTCACAATTTTCACAATAAAAGTTCATATTTTTGCTCTATTTTCTTTGTTGTTTTAACACTACACACTGCACTTTCTTAGTTATATGACAATGGTCTGTAAATAATCCAATCTTGACCAGATAATTTCATCTATGAGATTTATGAGAGACTAAAATCTAGTTAATACATAGATAAAAATAGAAATAGAAATATATGTACATATGTAATGTTGTTAAATGGCATACAATTAAAACAGTATAATTAGGAATATAATAGTTGACGTCGTTTCGATAAAATAAGACACAATTCGGATACGGTATGCATCAACCGAATCACCGAGCTTGGCCACCCGTTCCCGTTAGTCGCCTCTCACGACAAACATCGTTTGCTGAACAAAACTCTAAGCCGGATCTTCACGGGTTATCATAATATTTGACCTGGTTGATTGTGAGTAGCTATGCTCTTCTAGGTTAAATCATTCGTTGACTAAGTCATTAGCTAGCTTTGCTTCTTTCTTTGCTTTTTCTAACACTTTCCCCCGATAAAGTACTGTAATTATACCGAGCACAACTACTGCTCATGGTTATGTGTTCTTTCTGCCCAAAGGTCCTATCTTCAATACACAAACCGTAAAGGAAACCGGACAGGGTATATTATTCTCTAATTATTATATCTAATTCAAGATGAGATTATTGACAATGATGATAATGATTGTGAGTAACTATAATCCTGGACCTATATTTTCGAAGCTCTCTTAGCGCTAAGATAGTCGTAAGTTAATGTTAATGTATGACACTTACGACCATCTTAACACTAGGCGAGCTTCGAAAATCTAGGTCCTGTATATTAAGTCATTCTCATTCTCAGAAGTAACGTACGTGAAATATGGAAACCGACTTTTTAAAACAGTTATCGGGAGGTGGCTTATATACAGCACCTTTTGTAATACAAGTGCCATGTCTGAATATGTATAACGCATTTCCTTTGGAAATTGTATTGTTTTTGCGGTTTATCTTCTGAACAGTTGTAAACTTGGTCTCGTTACCATACTGCTGAAAAAATGCTGTTGCAACGTAAACCTCGGACTCCTTCACTAGAATTTCCGGATAAAAATGATGTTATATATAAACACTATGATACTTACTAGTAACTAAACAGCACTGTTCACCAGTAGGACAAGTGCCCAACGCCAGTGGTATTGTACAAGTGCCGGATACACATCCTCCGGGGCTGCCACCTGCCCCACACGCTATTAAAAAAATGTGATTTGTACATCTCTGAATTAGCAAAACGTACACTTGTTCATGTAATTGGTGTGTGTGTGTGTGTGTGTGTGTGTGTGTGTGTGTGTGGTTTGTCGGATCGGTATCCCTGCCTATCTTCTAGGTGAGTGGGTGAGTTTATTTTTACCCCGCACTCAGCAATATTCCAGCTATACGGCGGCGGTCTGTATATATTCAAGTCTGGACGAGACAATCCGGTGATGAACAGCATAAGCATCGATCTGCGCAATTGGGAACCGATGACATGTGGCAATCGAGTCAGCGAACCTGACCACCCGATCCCATTAGTCGCCTCTTACGACAAGCATTGGTTTCTGAAGATCAATATTCTAACCCGGACCTTCACGGGTCGCCAAACTTCTAAATGAGTTATAATCATTGTTGCATATACTTAAGTAAATATTATGGGGTCTTGGACATTTACTTTTGTATCAAGCTGAGACACTGGTCCAGGTGGACTACTGTTAACATCAGGATAAAAGTCATTTTTCGAAGAAAATCATAGTCAAAATCATTCTTTTTAACCAGGCGCCGATTTCTCGAAAAAACTTAGTTTTAACTCAAATTTCAAACTGAGTTTGACAACTTGAACAGCTGAATTTCTAACTCAACTGCATTATTAGAATTAAAAAGAGCCCAAACAAGTTAGTAATTTATCCATCATCTCAAATTATCTACTATGTTTGGGTTTAATAACGATTTCAGTTCATTCTGGGAAATGCATTCCTGCATTTTCTCAATTTTGAGTAAAAACTCACCTATGGGTGTCGTGGGTCCTGGTGTCGTCGTTGTTCCTGTAAACAAAAGACAATAAGTGTTAAATTAAGTGAGTGAGTGAGTTTAGTTTTACGCCGCACTCAGCAATATTCCAACTATATGGCGGCGGTCTGTAATCGAGTCCAAACAATCCAGTGATCAACAGCATGAGCATCGATCTGCGCAATTGGGAACCGATGACATACGTCAACCAAGTCAGCAAACCTGACCACCCGATCCCGTTAGTCGCCTAGGCCTCTTACGACAAGCATAGTCGCCTTTTGTGGCAAGCATGGATTGCTGAAGACCTGTTCTACCCCGGATCTTCACTAAGAGCTTCACAACACTCATGAACTAATTATGTACGACTTGCTGGCTGGTTGGTTTGTTGTTGAACGCACTCAGCAATATTCCAGCTATATGGCGACGGTCTGTAAATAATCGAATCTGGACCAGACAATCCAGTGATCAATAGCATGAACACCGGTCTATGCAATTAGGATACGATAACATGTGTCAACCCAGTCAGCCAGCCTGACCACCCGATCCCGTCAGTCTCCTGTTACTGAAGACCAGTTCTGATCCGGATCTCCACAGGTATATCCAACTTGTACCTTTACAAGCATAGAAATGCCGACCGACCAGTCCTTGTTGTACCCATTAATGCCAGGCAGGGACCAACAAGTACCATATTTTAACGTCTTTTGGTATGACGCGGTCGGGGATCGAACCCGCGACCTTCCGCTCTCCGGGCGGACGCTCTAACCACTACACCACGGAGGCGGTCAGTTTCACTTGGAGAAATCTCCAAATCTCACCGTATGAAGTCCAGCATTTCACATATTAGTCACCCAATAAAATTCTTTTGGCATCCGATTTCATTTACCAGACAGATATCCACCTTTGAGAAGAGAGATGTTTGTTGGTTTACCGACACAGAACAATATGACGAGGGTGTGTTAACGATCGAGTCAATAGACTGACTTGACATCATGATCATCGATCAATTTCAACCTTGACAAGCATCAACCATGTCAGCATTTCAAACCATCCGATCACCTAAAGCGGCCTTCGCACGGCAAACTAAAGTTTGACAACACATATTGTTGAAATTTTGAAAGTTGTCAAACACGCGTTTTCACAAGTCAAACACATGTTGTCAAATGTTCGTGTCATTTGAGCGCCATGTCTCTATTTGGTGCGGTCACATGACAATTTCGTTGACTACGATTGGTTGTTTCTGAACAACACAAATTTGACAACACTTCAGTGTGATTGAAAAGTTGGTGAGAACCGATAGAGACCGATCCTATTTCTCGACAACAGTTTGACAACTCTGAAATTGGTGTTGGTGGCGAGTTGTTGGAATGTTCACACTCTCAAACTCGAGTTTGACAACATATGTTGTCAAACTTTAGTTTGTTGTGTGAAGGCCACTTAACAAGCCTATTACGACGAGCATGAGTTGTTGAAGACCAATTCTGATCTATGGAGTCGCCTTTTGCGACAAATACCCACTAAACAAGGAAAGCCGTTTTGGACAAAGTCTATGTGCTATAGTTGTGGATAAAGTTGGGGGAAGAAATTAACATGTCCTTTTTCTGATGTAGCACAAATTGAGTAAAGCGTTTTGCGTTTCTCAGAATCAACATACTCCACCTGGCCCTTATTCCACTTGTCCCTAATCCTGTGAATATAAGCTTTCTTCCATGGCTGTCTTTGCTCAAAACACGTCCGAGGGCACACATTAACGGATTTGCTTTTTATTCAAGTTAGAAATCTCGGTAACATTCTGTTTCAATTGTACCATATTTTGCCCAATATCAAATATATTTATGCCAAACAAAGGTATAAGTGCAGCTGAAACGCTAATCTATTCTTATGCATAATTCTTAAATCAAGATGAGAATACATGTATTAATCGAACCCGGTCTTCTGCGTAACGATCGAACGCTTTATCCAATAGGCTACCCTTTCGCCTCTCAAAGAAGCAATCGAAAACAAAAATTGTTGTTTTAATATGGTAACTGAAACAAACGGAAACAAACCGATCTGACATACATCATGAAGAGCTCCGCATTACGAAGTCACACTGTTTAGCAAACCGTGTTTGTCCAAAAGGGGTGAAGCTGTCATGAATTCAACATAAAACAAACACGAAGAGCCATCTGGGTAATTGTCTATGGAACTCACCCAGGCATTCGGCTGCATTGTTAAGGAACGTCAGAATATGGCAGGTCAAGCCTGTGGGGTCCCTGGCGCAGTATCTGAAGGATAAAAGCAACTTTATGGGAAATAGGCGTAAATAGGTCACGGCACTTTGCGAGGCCACAGTACTTCCGGTGACAGACAACGTTTCACACCTTTTCGAATGGTCTCATAGTTGTCAGTTGACTGACAATCCTTGCAGGAATAACAAATTTCCGATCTAACCATCCCGAAATTAGCAAACTAATTCAAAGAAATTGTCTTGACTGTCAACAAGCATGGTTGTACACTTGATCCAGTAAAGACATATTTGGCGGTCGCACAATTTGGAACCAGAACTGGTTGTTGAATATACACTTGTCTACGGAAATCGGGTACCGGAAGTATGCTGGGCCCCGTCTCGCATATCGCAAGTTGGGGCGCACAAAGGGAGCCGGGAACCAGCTTAGAACCGTAAGTAGCGCGTCACAAGACTTACAGGCCCAATTACAACTATAAAACTAACAAAACACATATACTAAGCCCATACAACCTTCCTGCTATTAAACTCATAGTATTTAAGTATTATCTTGTGTAATAGAAGAGCTAAGCACAGACAGACGGTTTGTGGTCAAAGCGTTCGCTCGTCACGCCAAAGACCCGGGTTTCTTTTCACAACATTGGTACAATGTTTGAAGCCCATTTCTGGTCTTGAAAATTGCTGATATATTGCTTAAAGCGGCGTAAAACCTAACTCACTCACTCACACTGACCCAAATGGCCACAGACATTCACCACTTCGGTGTTGTTTATTGTTTAACACCGCACTCAGCCATATTCCAGTTATATGATGGTGGTCGGTACAAATCCGAGACTGACTGACTGACTGAGTTTAGTTTTACGCCGCTTTTAGCAATATTCCAGCAATATCACAGCGGGGGACACCAGAAATGGGCTTAACACATTGTGCCCATGTGGGGAATCGAACCCGGGTCTTCGGCGTGACGAGCCAACGCTTTAACCACTAGGCTACCCCACCGCCCCACAAATCCGAGACAATCCAGTTATCAACATTATGAGCATGGGATACGATGACATGCGTCCAAACTGTCTCACCCTATCTCGATAGTCATTGCTTACAACAAGCATGGGTAGCCTAGTGGCTAAAGCGTTCGCTCGTCACGCCGATGACCCGGGTTCGATTCCTCACATGGGTACAATGTGTGAAGCCCATTTCCGATGTCCCCCCCGTGATATTGCTGGAATATTGCTAAAAGCGGCGTAAAACCATACTCACTCACTCACTGAATACCAGGATCATCATGGGTCAGCCACCATGGTGGGACCCAGAAGCACATGTGTTCTGCGTACAAGTCGGGATCATAAAGGGCTGGTCTCGGCATTCAGGATGATCTTGGCCGAAATGTGAGTGAGTGAGTGACCTTACTTTTACGCCGCACTCAGCAATATTCCAGCTATATGGCGGCAGTCCGTAAATAATCGAGTCTGGACCAGACAATCCAGTGATCAACAGCATAAGCATCGATCTGCGCAATCGGGAACCGATGACATGTGTCAACCAAGTCAGCGAGCCTGACCACCCGATCCCGTTAGTCGCCTCTTACAACAAGCATGGGTTACTGAAGGCCAATATTCTAACCCGGGCCTTCACGGGTCGACAGCAAACTAATGCAACATAGCCCAGAGAGTATATGTTCATACTACGCATTGAAAATGAAAGTTTTATATCAATACGTATCATAACAATGTTACTTTCCACAAGATACACGGACGTAACTAAGTAATATCATGACTCACCTAATTAGTGAGTGAGCTAAAATTTTACATCGCATCGGCAATATTACAGCCATATAGCGTTGAAAACAAGGTAATCACTTTAAAATATCTGTCGACAAAGGACAGTAAAACCAACTAGAATATCACAGATATATATATATATATATATATATATATATATATATATATATTATATATATATATATACATGTATGTATATATATATATATATATTTAAAGGACAGTAAAACTTGTGCTTAACTCTTCTATTACACAAGATAATATATATATATTTAAAACTAGTAATAAAATCTAAAATACTTTAACTATAGAGGACGATATAATACAAAAACAGGATATAGATCGACAACAACTAAAGGTAGATAACCATACTAGGGACCATGGGGCTTACAGTACCTTTGCTACCTGCATAGACCCTAGCTGGACTTACACCATCCCTTCAGCTGCTGACCATTGTAGTCAAATCTAGCCATAATAAAAAATTACAAAAATACTACGTTTAGAAAATATGGTAAGTATAAATGTATCTTGAATGCTTTGGGACTTACGTACCCCTCACAGAGTCACCTAATTAACTTTGGAAAACACTGTTTGATACGCACCTGCACATTGTTGAATTCAGTCTTGGAACATTTCCGACCATGACAGCACTGTAGAGTAGTGCACTATTCATGGTGTGCCTCCCACAAAATTCTTCACAGTATTCAACCAATTCAAACACTGGGAGACACGCAGCCTCTGCATTGCCGCAGATATCCTGGGCAATCTGTCCCAAGGACAAGCAGTTGCTGTCCACAAAGCGTTTGTACACTTCAAAGGTGACCGAGCAATGGATGACACAGGGCATGAGGACGAGGAGGGTCACCCCGACCAGGAAGGCTTTTGGTGAAGACATCTTCCCTTAAGTCTCACGACTGATGAGGAATTTTTACTCCGGTTGGTCTTATAGGTACTGTCATGATGGTGCCGCAGATAGCGGATAGCCCACAGCCCATAATTACATACCTGACTTAAGACTCTCATCAGATGAGATTCATTGTTTTGCAGATAGTTATGCTTCATTATCTTCTGCCTGACTCGATCAGTATTTCTAACCCTAAGGTTATGAAAGTATTTTGAATATTCTCTGGGATACATCTAGGTACGCGTGTCTAACCCTTGTTTTCAATATCTAGGGGATAACTGTACTGTGTTTGACGAAATGGGGACGTATACCGGTGGTTATATACCCTCAAATTTAGTTATATCGGCGACGCGTAACAGTACAGTTATCCCCATTCTAATTCAACTCGTTTCACGCGGTTTTTTGGCGAAAGAAATTTATTATTTAAACCAGGTCAAAGTTCCTCTTGGCCAGAGGTTAATAATATCACTCTTTGAACTTACACCATCGCCTGAAAAAGTAGTTCCCTGTTTAGACTTCAGTTTACAATAAACACGTTTATTAGGTGCACACTGACTAAATCTGACAATGATGAATAAATCATAGTGTTATGCCTAAAATGGATGGAATTATCATGAAACGGCCCTCAGAAATGAGCGGACTGCTGCAATAAGCTGGGTCCCGTCTCGTATATCGCAACTAACGAGTCGGTACAGGCTAAAAAGACGATGGCTGTGAAGGCCTACGAAAAAAACGACATTGACAATGTTATGTCATTTTCCATTGGTTGCTATTTTTAGACGGCCGCGCTGTCCTTCATTTGTATCGTTTTTAAAAATTGCTGTCATGCAGGCGCTGGAAAGACCTTTGAAAAATTATATTGTTCTTATTTTTTCGAAACTTCTATTTCAAAATTTTTACTTTCTGTTATTTTAAGTACTTATTCGTCAATATTCACGAGAAATAATACTAAACGTAAATATTCGTTCTATTTTCGTGAACAGATCGTCGTTTTTCAATTACACACCCTAATTTCCCTATGCGACAAACGTTGTAATTATGAGCTTGTGAAAAGACTGTGAGCGAATAAAAAACACCTCTGATGTATGAACGGGACACATGTGCAGGTAATGTATACATACGGACATCGGTCGAACCACGCATACAAATTCAATCTCGTATTGCAAATATTCCAAACTTTGTGACGCCGTCGGAAAGGTATGCATGTTTTAGAGCGCGTAGGTGCGCCAACATTGGCAGAAAATCAGCCGTAAGTCGGAAAATATATTTATTATATGTTGTAGCGATATATATGTATTGACTTATTAACTTAGAAAATGCTGAATTTGTCCTGTAGACACTTTAATACAGCAAACGTTTGATGCGTTGGCGGCAAACTCTCATTGTCTCTTTTATCAGGAAGCTGGTAATATGTGCCATTAATTTCAATATTCACATAAATCAAGCCACCATTATTGTAACAATGTTTGTCTATTACATTAATTCCTGTTTTATTAAATAATACACCACAACTGTAGTCTGCCACAAGTGTAGTCTGCCAATGATTAAAAACAATATCATAGCCCCACTGAGCTACCCAAAACCTTTCATCTTTCACACAGCTATGGGTTTCGTGAATAAAGTAAATGTCTGCTTTCATGTCTTTAAAAAACAAATATATATTCCTTCTTTTCTCAGGATTCCTGAGGCCCCTGACATTTAGAGATTTGATAGCAATCAACATTAGTTAATTTGCGAATAAACACATTAACATGAGTGAGAAAGTTACAAGTGATACAAAATGAAACAACCATAACAGATAAAATAGTGTCGTACCCCTTCAGCGAGACACTGTGGAACATTGCTGAGCAAGAAAACTAAACTGACCCCTGGTGTTAATTACACAATGATTGTTTTGCCTCTAAATAAATAACAGACTCGTACAAAAACAAAACTGGCTCAACTTAGACAATGGAATTCGGCATGAAATAGTTAAAATGCACTTAACATGTACTTTCATTGTGAAAAGTCAATAGTAACCCTGAGTCTCTGGGCCTTTGTAGAGCACATTATCAAAGCTGACCCCGGATGAAACGGATCTTCTTCTTGTCTCTGAAGGCATCACCGGTCTGAGTTTAGTCTTGAGATCCCTGTCCTCTTTCATCAAGTCCTGTGTGAGGAAAATCGTCTTGCCCTGAATCTTGATCCGAGCTTGAGACATGACCTGTGATTTCTGCTGGTTTATTTGACGTCACATCCGGATTGGTCAAGCTGGACTCCGTCGCGCTGAATGATCTTGGAATCATAAGGTTTGAAAAGTGAACGTTGTGCGAGAATTGCGCTTGCGTGGTCCTGGATCTTCGCACGGCTATAAACTTACATAGAAATGTAGAATATACTATTGGTATAAATATAAGTGCAAATACATGGGCGATTTGAGAAAGAGACACTGTTAAATGTTGTCCAAAATTTTGTTGTGCATTAAAAAACAGTAAATGTCCCCGCTTTTGATCGTGTACCGATGAAAGTACTGTGCTACGATTTTTCTTTAATTTGGCATCTTTACGGAAAGTGTGAGCGAAGAAATGCAGCCTGATATCTGAACGACATAAGTAAACATGTATATGAAATGGGTTTGTGTGCTTATACATAGCGTTATAGGCTCTTAAACATGACTCGCAATAAATGTCGAAAATGGATTTTCTTCTATGACGTCAAACGACGACTAAGAGGCCATACACGTATAAAGATCAGGGGTCATAAATCCGATATGCTTTACACTAGGTCAATGTAACTCAGATCACTTAAAGAAAAGTTGTTGTGGATACGGACGTTATATCTGCGTTATGTTGTATTCACCATGAGCCAAACTATTTCGATACAAAGTTCCCCAATGTGAGCGGATACGGTTTAGTAGTTTCACAATTTATAAGAAAAGATGACAACGCACAACATGAAAGAGCATATATATAATAGCGATTTGGATGGCCCTATCCAATATGTAATTTATTTTTTGGAATCCCATATTCTCCTGTTAATGTAGATGTACTTTGACTAATTTTGCATCTTTATTAATAGTGTACTAGCCATGCATTGAAAATACTGAAAATAATACAAAAACCACTGGGTGCGGAAGTATTTTGTGACGCACAGTTTCATAGGATCTGAAAAATCGACTGTCTTCGGACTATGACATTAGGTTTAGATGTAGAATACATTTAGATCTGCTGACACTTGTCTACAGGTACGAGATTTTGTATACAACTCTAACATTGTGATCTGAATTGTGATGAAGTACAGTTTGCACCGCCTTCGTTTTCACATCTTATCTATATTGCTCAATTTCACATAACCGCTTTGTATTGATGACAAGACCATATTGGCTTTAAAAGCCTACCCATGTTGATTCAATATTTGGTGAAAATTGATGAACAAAGCGTTTGCCGCGGTGTTGATGATGCATCGCATCAAACGTTTTCTTGTTGCTGTACTAAAGTGTCTACAGAAAAAATTCAGCATTTTCTACGATAATAATTCAAAACTTATATATCGCCATAAAATATTATAAATTAATTTTCCGACTTACTGATTTTGTGCCAATGTCGGAGCACGTGTCAATGTCGGAGCACGTAACTGCTCTAAAACACACATACCTTTCTTACCTCAACCGCGAGGAAGGTTTGGTTTATTTGCAATACGAGATTTAATTTGTATTTGTGGCTCGGCCGATGTCCACGTATATAAAGGCACCCGTGAAGAGCCACCTCCTCGTGGTGGGTGCTGGGTAACGCTAAGCGCTCTTCAACCCCCGTTGTGGACCCGGGGGTATATTTGGTCCACCAACCCGTTTGCCGTGGGTTGCGCCCCTGTGTCGGTGGAGGACGGGAGTCTGGTGGTTGAGGGCACAGTAACCAGGACCAGGTGTTCCTGTTGTCCAACACACCACTTTGCCCCTTACTTCACCTAGACAGGTGGTAGAATGGGCCCAGTTCTACCAATCTGCTGGTCATGCCAGGCCCTGTGCATAGTGAGTGTTATTGCACAAATTTGATATACTATTTTGTCTTGGCTTTTTGAAATTACAGTTATTCATGATATTGCATTGCCTAGAGCTCTATGCCAGAAGGCGCTGGCTCATGGGCCAATCTGGTGATATGGACCTCTAAATTCTGAGTTTCTTAAGATTACTGTCATGGGCTGAACCAGCCTGACATTTGATCTTTTAGATTTCTTAGCTATTTATGTCCTGATTTCTGGAGTATAACATCCCTGTAGCCCTGGTGTTGCTGTCTGGTTTCCACGGCAGCACAGTCCTTGTTGACACTCGATGGCGGGTGGGGAGCAGTGATGCTGAACTATATTCTTCTGCCATGGCTAAAAACACTCAATCTGGTTCGTCAAAGACAAATGAGCGGATATATCTTTCTTCTTCGTCTGATGAAGAGGTATCTTCTTTCGTGAAGGATTTTTGGCCAAGGTTTTTGGTTATATCATCTGATGATGAGAATCCATTAAATATTAATCATTTTGCTGTCTCCAAGGGCATCCAGGGTATCTGCGGAGAGGTTAAGAATGTTACCCGCCTCTGAAACGGTTCACTTTTGGTAGAATGTGTACGGAGGCATCAACCTGTCAATCCGCTGGGCTTACAGCAGTTTGTGAATGCACAGGTTGTTGTCTCAGTGCATAAGACATTGAACACTTTCAGATTCCACATATACGAAAACCATGGTTTATTGACGAATGCAAACAGGCAAGGAAGACACGAAGAAAGCTGAGAATTATTTCCGTCGCCATCCTATGGTCCACAATTTAGACAAATTTCGAATTTTAAGCGCTAAAGCACGACGTACTTTCAAGCAAGATAAACGCCACTCTTGGCGAAACTATGTATCAAAAATCA